TTGTGCCCAATCCAATCAACCGTTAGACCGAACAGGCTCGGCTGGTGCATGGGAGCGGGAAGAGAACGAGGCCGTCACTGAGAAAGTCATCGTCACGGCACATCAGCACACTCCTCACTATAGAAAATCTGACGCGCTTGAAACTACCGCAAGGAACTTAAAATTGTGGCTTGGAAGGTGCCAAATGACGGGACAACCCGGACCCGAGTCAGGCTGCAATGGATACTGTTTGACGTGGTCTTTATGGAACTTCCACACAAGTGAGATCAGAATCGTCATTACAGACGGTCAAGCACGTGTAACGGGGACCAAGTCCTGGGCTTGGCACGCATAGACGGTCACTTAGCTTTGTCAGTCACTGAACCTGAGCCTACTTCCGATTGCCTTGGTCCTGTCTTGTCATCGGAGCAAGGTTAGTAAGGGGGAAGAGTGTGGTGGGTGCTGCGAAAGTCCGTCCTACTATGAACGTGCAAGTCACTGTTCCGCACCCACCAAATCGTCATCCGCAAAGGTCGAACGGTCGCCTGACTTCATCACCAAATGCTGTGCACGAAGTACGGTACAACTTAGCTTAATCCGCATCATTGCCTCCAACGCCTCGTTAGAGATTCCGTTAGGCCTTCGACACGAATAGTCCTGGAAGTAATCCTCTCTGATTAAATCCTCGACCGGGTTCTCACGAAGACCTGACGCGACTGTGGCAGTATCGAAACTTTAACTGGAGGCCGGCAGATCGACCTTGATTAGGTGACATCATCAGCCACGAGCCAAGACATGATGATCTGTAAAACGCCGTCTCGGGCGAATAGGATCGCTAAGACCATTCCCTGCGACTGATTTGGCGCGGCCTCCTCTTGCAAGTTAACCGCATCATGAATGCTTGTTCTCCATTTCAGTCGGCCGACGCAAGAGTCACGAGAGCTGGGCCAGTTGGCGTGCTAACTCTGCGGACCAGAAGGCCAGAGATACGCTTGAGGGAACCCATATCTTCATTTGTCGTCATCGGGCAAAGTGAAATCCCGCAAGATATCACCCCTGGAGGGATGATGCGCTGTAAAATACCCATCGGCAATTGGGGGTAGAAGCGACGGGTTGAATTCCTGAACGACCACGTATTTATTGGTTGGAGACGTGACTGGAAGGACGAAAACAGAGAGTGGAGTGCAAGTACAATCAATCGAATACTTCCAGACGGGGTGTACATTTTCTGTTTACGGGTCATGCCTTACACCTAAATAGAACTGTCCTTATACAAGAACCTCACATATTTTCCATCCAGTCTTCAGCTGATTCCGAGGGTTTTAGCTTAGTCGGACGACGGTCGCACACACCTGGTAAACCTTATGGTCGACCTTATATTTGTCTTGTTCGTTTCACAGAAGGTCTTATCAAAAATGGCAGTTGTCTATTAAAACAAGTTTTTCGCAGTCTACTGTGACTGGAGTGATCATCATTTGATCCTGGCAACTTTCATTCCCGCTTCATACTTATCTTGCATCCGAGCAAGCCTTCAATTTACAACCAAGCTGGTTCGCACCGTTTTTTCTCAAAAAATACTTCGTCGACTTTAACCATTTGGCGTTTTTACGGTCGGTGTCTGCGGCGTTTGGTTTAACGCTACTAAGGAAGCTATTTAGGTGGTAACAATCGGTAAAGGTGTTGCGTTTTACCGCATCGTACGGCCAGCCGCTGGTTTACCACTGGGAGTAAGCAGTATGCGATATTTGCGACGAGAAGTGGTGTCATTTCGGAGTCAAAATCATGACGTCTAAAAATTTAAGGAAATTTGGTGCTGGTACAACTTATTTAAGTAATCCACTGCCAGCGTCTCGCTGACTTGTTGTGTGGCATGGTCGGCAGGCTGAAGTGCATGGACAACATCCAGCAGAAACTGTACTTTAAAATAAAAGAGACAATCACCAAACTCACGCCTCTCGATCTGAAAATGCTTTCCTGAAATTTTCAAGCTCCTCAGAAAGAGCCCGGCATTCAGACTGCCATTTGAATATTAATTCGGCCACACTGTACTCATCGATTTTAGGCGGCCATAAGTGAGGATAATCTACAAAATACGGTTGAAAGTGAAGGAGGGACTTAACCCTTTTTAGCTTTGATCACCATGTGTGTCATTTCCGGACATACATCGGATGTATACATTATTTTCTTCGAAATGGACTCCACTTCGGCAGCGGGAAGGGCGTAAAGCCGTGCCTTGGCCATCTCGAAATTTTGCTCTTGGCCATTATACTCCAGTAGCTAGATTGACTGCATAGACTCACAAAAATTCAACAGACCTCCGAACGAAATGCGAAACATTGTTGAAGAGGCATGCTACAGAATCGACGTGGATGGTTGAGGTATCTGACCGACTACAGGGTCGGGCTGTTAAAAGAGGTACAAAAACAAAAGGTCAGCCAGCGCAACCAGCAGTTCGTAACTTTGTTTTAGAGGAGCC